TTAACGAGCTGTGGGGGCGCTGTGGTTCTCCACACAGCAGCTCATTTAAATGTTTTTGGAGTGTCGCACGGGGTTTTTGAATGTGATTCAACACTTTGCCTCTGTGTATCAGCTGCGTTATGAAAGCGCGCACGCAGCTCTCAGCGCCCACCGTTCACGTCAACGTAAACGTGAGACCGCGGTACGAGCCCAGTAACGTCGCTCTCGGCAGGAGCGACACGCGTTTTCCACATCAGGGTTTTTGATTCACACAGACAGCAAGTGACTGTTGCATACATAACTGGCAGGAGATGTATGCACTCAACCCATCTGCCACATTGTGAGACAGATGCTGTGTGGGGCACACCCAATCTGCTCTCCATTGGAGTAGGGTACATCTCCTGTGTTCTGAACAGGGGACGGATGTGATGTCCCAAGACGGTCCTTTGCGGCACGGGGACCGGGGACCTTCCATCCAGAGCTATGGCTCAGATGCGGCAGAAATCCTGCGAGAGGCTGTGGACCTGTTGCAACACGAGAGAACGCTTGATGTCAACTATAATTATCATGGAGCCACGGGACGATCAACCGCTAGGGGTGGACGTGTTTGCTCGCAGCCTGTGGTCGTAATGCTTCTTCACCTCCCTCACTCCCTTTGATATCACGGTTTTCCGAACCGAGTTCAGGAGGAGGGACTGACAGCTCCTCTGTCCCAAGTGTGTGAACGCATCATGGTCCCCAGTCCTATGACACTCGTTATTGGGACGCTCGTGGAACCTGCCGTGGAGGGAAGTCGCTCTCCTCCAGGCGGGAAGAGTGATCAGGAGTTAATCAGAATAGGCCAGCACCTGTGGTCTGGCCGTTGTGCGGATCCTTTTGAGAGGATGGATCTCTCTCAAGATGTAGTGCGTACGATTCAGGATTCACGTGCTGCAACCACCACAGCGCTGTTCACATCAAGTGGTCAGTTTTTTCAGCGCTGCTGTTCAGAGAAAGGTGTAAAGGCCATTTCATGTTCACTAGGTGGTGTGCCGTCCTTTCTGCAGTAGCTGATAGACAGAGATCTGGCGTTCAGCTCGAGTAAAACGTTCACTGCGGCCATCTCTTCCTGTCACGAAAATTTCGAGAAAGAACAGTTTTAATCATCCGCTGATGAAACGTTTTGTAAAAGGTATACAGAAAAGGCGTAGAGGCCACTTCATGTCCACTGGACGACATGCTGTCCTTTTCTGCAGCAGTCGATGGACAGAAATCTGGCATTCAGCACGATTATCGTATGCTGCAGTCATGTTTTTCTTCTTGTCTCAAACTTGTCGGAGACAGAACAACCTTTAATCATCCTCCGACGGAGCATTTTGACTCAGATTGAAATAGTAGCTGTGGGCCTATTTGCGACACGAGAAAACGCTCAGTGTCAATTATGGTTTTCTCTGAGCCCGCGAGACGAACCAATGCTGGGGGTGGATGCGTTTGCCCATGGCCCAAAATGCTTCTGTACGCGTTTTCCTCCACCTCCTCTGATTTTACGGTTCCTGAACCGAGTTCAGGAGGAGGGATTGACAGCTCTCCTGGTGGCCCCCGAACGCGTGAACGCACCTTGGTTCCCAGTCCTGCAACGCCTGCTGTCGGGGCGCCTGTGGAAACTGCCGTGGAGGGAGGATGCTCTCCTCCAGGCAGGAGGAGCAATCAGGTGTTACCCAGAAATAGGCCAGCACCTGTGGTCTGGCCGCTGAACGGATCCGCTTGGAGAAGATGGGTCTCCCACAGGATGTAGTGCACACAATTCAGGTTTCACGTGCTGCATTTACCACAGCACTGTACACATCAAAGCGGACAGCTTTTCAGCGCTGGTGTACAGAGAAGGGTGTAGAGGCCACTTCATGTCTACTAGGTGGCATGCTGTCCTTTCTACAACAGCTGATGGACAGAAATTTGGTGATCAGCACTATTAAAACGTACGCTGCAGCCATCTCTTCCTGCCACGAAGGGTTCGGAGACAGAACAGTTTTAATCATCCACTGATGAAGCGTTTTCTAAAAGGTGTACAGAGACGCAGGCCTGTTTCACACCCACTTGTTCCACAGTGAGATTTAACGCTGGTCCTGCAGGCTCTGATCAAAGCTCCATTTGAGCCTCTGGATCAGGTTCCACTTAAATTCTTGTCTCTTAAAACAGCCCTGCTGCTGGCTTTAACATCCGCTAAGAGAGTGAGTGATTTATCTGCCCTGTCTGTCGCTCCGTCATGTCTCAGAATTCAGGCTGACGGCGGCTCAGCTGATCTAAGACCAAACCCAGCTTTTATGCCTAAAAACATCACAAGTTCTTTTAAATCAAGAGCGATATCGTTGGAGGGGGTTTTCTCCCCCCCCCCCCCAAACAGATCAGAAGAAGTAGCGTCTTTCCATCTTCTCTGTCCAGTGCGGGCGTTGACGTGTTACATAGCTGCAATGCGTCAAACTCAACATTTGTTTGTGCATTATAGAGATGCATCTGCAAGTCGCCCATTATCCACCCAGCGCCTGTCACACTGGCTGTGTTAGGCCATTTCTGAAGCCTACAGAGCATCAGGTTTAGAGCCTCCTGTCAACCTCAAAGCATACTCGACCAGGAGTATCGCATCTTTGACTGCCTTGCATAATGGTATGACAATGCAAGACATTTGCACTGTGGCCGCGTGGTCAACACCCTGCTCATTCATTCGCTTTTATCTACGTGATGTGACGGCTCGTCCCATGACACATTCTGTTCTTAGTGTTTACAGAAAGAATATTGTTGTTTCATGGAACTCCGTTTTACTCACATCTGTCTGCATGCATTACAGTGTGAGATGTTGTTATCAGTCACAAGTTGTGATTGTTATTTTGGTTCTATTGTCACTAATCAGTTCACGACTATTGTTACCAATCAGTTCATTTGATTAATAATCAGCTCTCCTGTTATTATTAATCTGTTCATACTGTTCAGCCGTGAACCGGTTGGTTCATGGCTCTTTTCAGCTTTTTTCCCTCCCCGTTGAATTTTTCCGGGGCGTTCATACATTCAGAACGCATAGTTACACAACATGCGTCTGTGCATGGCACACATAATTACGCAATGCGTAATTACGCACATGGAGAGCTGAGTAACAAGACGTTTTTTGGGCAAGCTTCTGCTTCATACGGTGTTCGAATGGACCCAGTGAGGTGAGGACAACATCTGCTTCGCCCTTAACCCATCAGCGACAGCCTTAAAGGGCGAAGCCTATACGAAATAGAACATTGGTTACGTACTGTAACCCCAGATTCTATGAGTATAGGCGTAGCCCTTTAAGCGTCGGGCCTCACTGGCTCCTAAATGGCTGAAGAAAAAGCTATTTGGGAGCCAATTACCCGCTCTTAACGTAATTTATACGGACCAGGTGGGGCCCACACAGCAGGTGGGCGTGGACTCAATTTTTCAGTGTAATGCTTCGCATATCGGGATAAACCCATCAGCAACAGCCTTAAAGGGCTACGCCTATACTCATAGAATTTGGGGTTACAGTACGTAACCAACATTTTATAACTGTTTAATTTAAGGAAGTTAGACGCAAACCAGGATTTAATTTCAGCTAAGCAGGAAGTGCAGGAGGAAGAAGGAAGAGAAGAATTTGTGCAGTGGATAAGAAGTAAGCTGGGTGTCATCTGCAAAACAATGGAAGTGAAATTAAATAAGTAAGTAAAGTAGTTAAATAAGTTAAGTAAGTAAAGTAAGTAAGTAAAGTAAGCAAGTAAGTTAAGTAAGTAAGTAAGAAAGTAAGTAAGTAAGAAAAGTAAGTAAGTTAAGTAAGTAAGTTAAGTTAAGTAAGTAAAGTAAGTAAGCAAAGTAAGTTAAGTAACTTAGTAAAGTATGTAAATTAAGTAAGTAAGAAAAGTAAGTAAGTAAGTTAAGTAAAGTAAGTATGTAAGTAAAGTAATTAAATAAGTTAAGTAAGTAAGTAAAGTAGTTAAATAAGTTAAGTCAAGTCAAGTCAACTTTATTTATAGAGCACATTTAAAACAGAACCTGTTATAAAAGTGCTTAACAACAACAACAATCAATGAGTAAAATTAAAGGGAAAAAAAAATATATATATATATACAATACACTAATAATAATAACTGAAGAATTAATAAAAAGCATTTAAAACACAGGGTCACAGATTAAAAAAATACTAGCTCAGTTTACAGTGTGTGAAATGTCTGCGAGAACAGATGTGTTTTAAGCAGAGATTTGAAGTGAGGAAGGGAGATGGCCTGCCTCATGTTGGGGGGCAGGTTGTTCCAGAGTTTGGGGCCCATGACTGAAAAAGCCCGATCTCCTCTGAGCTTCAGTCTTGTTTTTGGAACAGCCAAAAGCAGCTGATAGGATGATCTCAGGGCCCGAGAGGGAACGTAAGGTTCCAGAAGCTCAGAGAGGTAAAGGGGTGCGAGGCCCTTTAAGCATTTGAAGGTCAACAGAAGAATTTTAAAGACTATCCTCATACGAACAGGGAGCCAGTGAAGGGAGGACAGAACTGGAGTAATATGTTCAGACCTACGAGTTCCGGTTAAAAGCCGAGCAGCAGCATTCTGCACGAGCTGAAGACGTGAGATGGAGGCCTGGCTGACCCCAGCATAGAGTGCATTGCAATAGTCCAATCAGGTTGTGACAAAGGCGTGGACTAGTTTCTCAAGGTCGGGTCTGGACAACACTGGCTTGAGCTTAGCTACCTGTCTGAGTTAAGTAAGTAAAGTAAGTAAGTAAGTAAACTAAGTAAGTAATAAAGTAAGTTAAGTAAGTAAAAAGTAAGTAAAATAAGTAAGTTAAGTAAGTAAATAGTAAGTAAGTAAATTATGTAAGTAAGTAAAGTTATTAAATAAGTTAAGTAAGTAAAGTATGTAAGTAAGAAAGTAAGTAAAGCAAGTAAATAAATGTATGTATGTGTGTATGTACCTATCTACTTTGATGTCATGAATTGATCAGGTGTCGCAGGATTACCATCCACAGAAACACATTTATATAGAGAAAATAAAAGCTCAAACCTGCAGTGAGTGAAACTCTGCCTTTAGAGTCAGAGTGGTGTTAAACTCCGCCCTCTTCAGACAGCCTGGATCTGGAAGGAGCTGGGCAGTGGGAGTCGCCACTGAATGACTGACAGCTCATCATGCAAAAGAGACAAAGAGCTGAGCTCAGCAGATTAAATGTGAAACAAAGATGTTTATTGCAGCAACTGATGAACAGAGCTTTAATTGTTAAAACATAAAATTCAAAACATAGATACTGGAAAACCAACATTATAACGATAATTGTGATTTCATCACCAGCTACTTTTCATGACAAAAATTTAAACCATGATATTTTTAATATGAAAAGGGAAAAAAGTAGGAGCCATTTTAAACAAACTTTGAAAACACTCTTTAAATATCTCAAAAACGTCAAATATGAGAAAAGTATCAGTTGAGTTCATTTAGTGTTAGTTAAGGTTGATTAGCTGGAATGTCCATCTTGAAATGGGCTTTTGAAAAGTTAAGCAGTTGTCGATGTACATTCAATAAAGATATTCTGAATTTCACTAAAATACGTCCAATACGTTATGAGATATTTTGCTAAAAGACAAACCGAGCTGACTCCAATTACGTCAAGAATCCTCACACACAATCTGATCAGGGATGTGTCTCAGCTGCTATCATATCCTATTTTTACTCATAATTTGTAAAACTGTCTGAATTAAAAACTTTTGGGGGCTTCCTAAAGTTGATAAGCTGTGTTGGCCATCTTGGAGTGAATTTACTCCAAAGTTAAATCAGAAGTAGAGGCACATCTGATTGTTACTTCCATTAAAATCAGACCACAGGTTCATGTGATATTTTGCTAACAGGCAGACAAACACACAAAGATAAAAACATTACTGCTCACCGTTCACTTGTTTTTAGTGGCAGTCAGTAAGTTTATGATCTATGGTCAAGACTGCCACAAAACTGTCAGTTAAATTAAAAAATGAAACTTGAACAGTCGTGCTGCTCGAATGCATGGACGGCTGTAACTGAGAGGTCAGAGCAGTCGTCCTCTAGTGGGAGAGTTGGGGGTTTAATTCCACCAGCAGTCACATGCTGAAGTGTCCCTGGACAAGACACTGAACCCTTCATTGCCTCTGATGTGTGTCTCATCAGTGCACAAATGTGATAAAGCTCTGATTATTTTTGTACAAATCTGTGTACAAGAATATTCTTGTACAGTGCTGTGTGGCGGTAAATGAGGACACAGATTGTGTTGTAAAGAGCTTGAGTGTATTGATAAGATAGAAAGGAGATATACAAGTACAGTTCATTTACCATAAATTCTGATGCTAGATCCCAACCCAAAATGCTTACTGATTCTAAAGCTTTAAGACTGTAGTTACCATGGCGACGGCCCGTGTTCTTCCTGGAACCTTTCCTCCGCTGCTGAGCAGGAAGGAGCTGAGGCTCCGATGTTACAGTAACAGTCACTGGTTCTTTGAAGCACACCTAAAACACACACACACGTTACTGAATCAGCATGCACACAGAATAACTTAGCACATATGCTGTTACACTCTCCTGTTTAAAGTTTATT